TCTAAACTCTAATTTTCAAAGTTCTCATTCTCTTCGAATCTCTTTTGATCGTTTGCTCTTCAATGCATGGCGATTTGAGCCTTTGAATGCTTAAAAAAAATTATATATGAAAAAAAACTCAAGAAACAAGATTTGTTAGAAACATAAGTATCTAGTTTGTTATAATAAAAACAAATGGAGTTATATTTAATCATAGGTCAACAAATATAAATCCAAGTGGGCTTGGTCTGTCTATTAAACTTAACCCGGTCTAATATTTAATTAATCAAATTAATTAAATTCAATCAATAAATTAATTAATTCAAGCCTAGTAACAAGCAACTCAATTAATTAATTATCCAACACTTATTAATTAATTAATTGATGAATCTCATTCTTAATGGTTCTCCTTTTGTGTGTGACACATCAGATTCCCGATCACGATATCTAACGACGTGAATTATTATTTTGATCTAATCAAAATCGATAAATTAAAATACTCCTTTTAATTTATCATCAATTTACATTCGCCGTCCTAAATTGACATTTAGTAATGTGTCGGGCAATACATATCACGAAAAATGTCACATGGTATGACAAAATCAAACTTGTTCGTTTACCATGAAACTAATTACTCTTCGTCAATATAATCCGATCAATTATGAGATATGAATATGTGTCAATCTCAATTATCGATCATATCTTTCATCCAACTATTAATTCAATATAAGTCGAAAACTCTTTTTTTGACTATGAGTACACCTTGGTCAAGAATTTCATTATCAACTTAACTAAATGAAATGTAGATTATAATCTTTTATTATCTACGAGTGATAAATCCTCTATTGATCATTCACAACCTTCATATGATTCTTGGCATATCCAAACAATGCGTATTAGCGACCCTTGGCAAAACAACATCCAACATCACCAAAGTACGACTGTCCTCATATAAGGCACTATGATAATCTCAAGTCAAATGACCAATTCTACTACCGAACGTTAGAGATTAATCACTGATACTCAAATAGTTATCCATGTGGAATCTCCTAGCAGGTCTCCAATGTTTTGTTCTATAACAAAACATTCATGTGTTCATTCAAGTGTCACCACACTTTAGTTTGTGAGATCAGTTACTTACTTTACAAATAAGAAATGCAACACGTGATGATCTATATGAAATAACGATATCTATATCTCGTTATTATATACGACCACGGACGATTTAAGATTCAATCATATGTAATTTGTATCTCACAATCACAACTCCTCGTGATTAACAAATCACCAACTTGAATCTACGGATTCTATTATTTAATTTATTAGAATATTAATTCAATTAAATAATAGATATTGCCATATATATGCATTGATTATATATATTCAAAGTGTTTATGTCCAAAGTTGATTGGACCTAGGGCATAACACTTACAAANAAATAATAGATCTTGACATAAATATACATCAATTATATATAGGAAAAATATTTATGTCCAAAGTTGATTGGATTTAGAGCATAACACTTACAAACGGTTTACAAGCACCGGTGGAATCCACCTTCCTCCCCCTCTCTTTCTCAAGTTCATAGCCTTCGCCGTAGCATCAAGGGTTGTAACTAAGATGTCCTTCGTGGAGTACAAGAGAAGCTGATTATACAAGTAGAAACTAATATTTGAAAACCCCCCAACTCAGGTCTAAATACGCTACGATCAATACACAAACATACATCCAAATGGCAATCATCTCAACACCAGCTTAAAAAATATGAAGTAACAGTAAAGGAATATAATCTTTTTATTCATCCAACAAGTAAATATAAATCAATCTATGTTCCCGTATACTATTTTAACACGAGCTCATCAAATATATAGATACTCAAATTGTTTTTAAACCAGAACCCAAGTCTGTTTCGTGCGCAAGTAGATATTTCACCTAATACTAGAAGATGAACTGTCCATTGCGGATTCTCATATGCTGCAGAAAAGTTTCTCTATAAAATATATCATGTGCACAGTAAAACCTGAGACGAATCAATTCTTAACTGCATCATGGAATAACACTATGGCATAAGTTACTTCTTGTGCACCAAATGTTCAACATCTCCCAGCTGAAGTTCACCTCTTGGCAGCTCATATTCATTTTGAAATAGCAATTCAATCTGCTCTAGGGATTTACCTTTTGTTTCTGGAACAAGTTTGTGGACAAAGACGACAGCAAGTGCTGAAATAACTGAAAAGATAAAAAATGTTCCACCCATTGTGATGGCACGGGAAACAGAGAGGAAAGACATGGCTATTAAGCCACTGCATACTCTATTGCCCACTGACCCGAGTGCGGATGCCTGAGCACGAACCTTTAAAGGGAAGATTTCAGACGTCACAACCCAGCAAACAGGACCAATTCCCACAGAAAAGAATGCTACATTTCCACAAACTAACAATATTGCTAAAGCAGTTCCTACAGATCCTTCATTTAGTAGAGATAGAGTGACGCCCACACCAAACAAGCAGATTGTCATGCCAATGGTGCTAACATAGAGCAACGGCTTTCTTCCAGCTTTGTCAACAAGTATAATAGCAACTAGTACAAACACAGTTTTGGTGACTCCCTCTGCAACAGTGGCAGCAAGAACCTTTGAATTACTATCAAGGCCAGCTGCATTAAATATCTCAGGACTGTAATAAACAGTTGCATCAATGCCCGTAATTTGTTGAAAGCACTGTATCCCGAAACCAGTAATGAGCATTCTTCGAAGCGCCGGAGAAGGACTCAACAGTTCACGCCATACAGCTTTATCACCATTACTCGCCCCAACTGCTGATTGTATATCTGCAAGTCTCTCCTCAACTTCAGACTCATCATCATTTGTTTTTAACAGTACCGACCTTGCTTCTTCTATTCGGTTCTTCATCACTAACCACCTAGGAGATTCAGGGATTATGCACAAGGCAAATGCAATAAAGACTGAAGGCAGAATTCCCACTGCAAGCATTATTCTCCAGTTTGTATGGGCTGGAAGGCCGGAAAATGCATAATTAGAGACATACCCAAGTAGGATCCCAGCATTTATGAAAATTTCAGGAAATGATGTCAATGTGCCTCTGGCAACTGTTGGTGATATCTCAGCTATGTATACTGGTGCAATCATGACTCCGAGGCCAATTCCAACACCAGCCAAGATTCTCCCGATCATTAGTACTCGAAATGTAGGAGCAAGAGTCATCACAGCTGCACCTGTTTGAAAGACAATGGCCGCTAATCCCATTGTCCATTTTCTACCAATAACATCTGATGCTCTTCCACCAAATAAACTACCAAATAGAGAAATCACACTCAAAATACCAACAAGAACTTCTTCTTGAAACTCACTTATCTTTAAATCTTCTTTAATAAATATGATGGCTCCACTCATCACACCAACATCTGCAAATCGAAGACAGAGTCAGCCAAAGACCCATCACATGAATTTACACAGTAATGAATGAAAATACTAATAGAAAATCATAAGCATGGCTCAAATATAGATAAACAAGCATTTTAACAATAGTGAAGTAAATAACTGTTTTCGTCTTTTTTGTGACTGCGTTCGTCAAAGTGTGCAGTTGCAAGCGTTGGGGTGAGGGGGCTTACGCAGCAGGGCATAAGATTTCTATTAAGCATAATATGTTCCTAGGACAAGATACTAGGTGCCTGGTTCGAATACAAGGATTACTCAAAAAAAGATAAAATAAAAAAAAATTACACTGTAGCGTTTGGTGAAAAGCCTTAGCAAACAAGTTAAAGATCTTTTGTCACCAAATCTTCCAGGCTGCCAAACTTGGCTCATACCAAAAGGCTATATATAACTTTTTTGAACACCAACAAACTCATTATATAAAATGTCATCTCACACCAACGGTGAGAGAAAAATGAAAAAGGAATACAATTGACCTTGCTATGAATAGCTTGGGAAGAAGTGGAAAATTTAGCTGGATTCTAGGCCATTATATCCCCATAGCGGAAAATGAAATGACGAGCCACATCCAACATCCTTCAAATAGCTACAATGTCTAAACAGAGTAAAGGAGTCGAAGAAAAAGAGTTTCCTGGATTGAGTTTATATGTAACTTGCAAACAAGAAAACTTCCTCATCTGGGGCAGATTTTTTCACAAATCGAGATCCCAATTTTTCAGCAATATATAATTTGCATACTATCCTCAAGCAGCTTATTAATTTTTCTTGATTCTCCACATCAATATTTTGTGTTTTCTTCCACAAATACAATCCTCAAAAGAAAAAAAAAATGGAGATAATTCTCTTTTTTTCACAGAAGAGCATTATTATGAACAGAGCCTTTTGAAGATTAAGAAATTATAAAGCATAAGTCTGAATAAAATAAAGCAAATAAAAGAAAGGTCAAAGGCAGATCAATGAAAATGCAGGTAAAATGAGAAAAAATAAATGGTATTACCATAGCCAAGGAGGACATTATTGAGAGAGGCAAAAACAGCACACGCAATTACATATTTCCTCGTACTGTTTATCTTCTTCTCCAACGGATTATGTTGCTCAAAATCGCCATCATAATCAGTCAACTCAGAATCCATTCTTCTATACTTGTTCTTTGCTCCCAAAGGCACACCACCCAATCCCATCTCCCCAACCCCATTTTCTTGGATACCCGCCAAACCCATCTCAACTAGACAGGCACCTAGTTTCTAGATTCTAACAGCAAAAACCCAGAAAAATACAACAGATGCTATGAAGTTCTAAGGGTGAAACTTGATAAAGAGTGGGATTGAGGTAAGGAATTTCAGATCTGAAAGGGGAACAGGAGAAGACTTAGCTAATGGACCAGTTTTGTCATGTAAATTGACCTCTTACTCTTATTATGTTTAGATGGAGCTTTCCAAGTAACAGCTGTGGAAAAATCTCATTTGTCAAATAAATTGTCTATTACTCGTACATTTTCCATTTTTCTCCTTTCCAAATTACATATGTGGTCATTGAACTTTTAAGTGTCATCTCAATTAGATAAATATGTTGTAATTTAGTTTTAAATGTCACCACTCTGTTACTTTTCATTACGGTCGTCTCCAAAGTAATGACAATTGCTTACTGGGCAAATAGCCATGATAGAAGTTCTTCGTAGTTGCTTTGTGACATACCAACTAAATACTGAATCAAGTCAAAAAAGTGTAAATAATCATACAATGAAATTAATCAAATTATCGTTCGTTTTTTATTTCGCTCATATGTCCACTATTTCTATGGAATCAAATAGACGAGTGCATGTAGAAGTAGGACTGTCCGTGGGTCGGTTCGTTTAGGTTAGCTTCTGAAGAGAATCGAATCGACCTAAAACTTTCAAGTATTTAATAAATGGAACTGTCGGTCCAAATATAATTATGGAACCGTTCGAGTTCGGTTCCGTTCGATTCGGTTCGATACCATAATTAATTTTTTAATATTTACAGCAACAATACATAAAGTAAATTAAAATAGGGCTAATGAACTTTAAAAATGATTTGGGCTTTAAAATTAAAATTATGAAATAATCTGATTTATTTAATTAATTTTCTAATTTGTTTAAAAAAATAAAATAATTTAATTAATTCAATATAAAAAATAAAAAAATTTTTTAGTTTCGGTTCTTATTCGATTCTTCGATTCTTGGTCTAGACTCGAGACCCGACCCAAACCCATCGATTCTCGATTCGGGTACCAGTTNTAATGAAGTTTAAAAATGATTTGGGCTTTAAAATTAAAATTATGAAATAATCTGATTTATTTAATTAATTTTCTATTTTTTTTAAAAAAATAAAATAATTTAATTAATTCAATATAAAAAATAAAAAAAAATTATTTAGTTTCGATTCTTCGATTCTTGGTCTAGACCAGAGATCCGATCCAAACTCATCGGTTCTCGATTCGGTACCCGTCTGGTATTTAATTTATGAAGAACTGCTCGATTCGGTTTGGTCCGATTCGGTTCGGGACTTTTGGACACTCCTATGTAGAAGGTTGGACAGACTTGTTTAGTTCGATACATAATACAATATTGAAGAAGTGAAACGAATTGAAAATTCATGCATTGTACTATAGATTCTTATTGCATGTTTAACACACAATCTAAACAATTACATGACCATATACAATATTTCCTTATAAATGAATTTGCATGTTTGGCTAAGTTTAAGACTTTACATATAGTAAACAATTAAATTTGGAATAAATAATTTGTTGTGCTGGTTAAAATAAAAAATAAGTATAGCTTTTAAATCTCACCAAACAATTGACTGAGTCCAAATATTAAATTATCGAGTCAATGATTCAATCAGTATGTTACTAAATAGTTATTACAATATTTGAATATATGTAATTACAAAACTGGAATCGTATTTATTCAGTCAAATAAATAATGAATATTATTAGATAATTTAGTGGTTAAGAGGGTTTTTTTTTTTTTTTCATCGTTGAATTCACTACAAAATTTGCGAGTTTGATTGGTTCACCTGCATTCCGGTCCAATTAATTCAATAGGCCTGAACTTCTAATTGACTTATTGAGTTTTTGAGCCGGTCGAATGGGACGAGTGGATTTTTAGAATAATTGAAATAAGTATGTGAAATTATTTTGAAATCTAACAATATCTTGCTCTCAATAAATAACTTGTTTACTTATAAGAGTGAAGTAAATAATATAGACAAACATATACAGGAATAGAAAATATCAAAATCTATTATTTTGATTTGTGCGAATAAGTGGACCATATCGTACCAAATAAGCTTTTAATAAAAATAAAAGTAATTGAAATTTTTAATTTAAGGACGTTTACATTTAACATTGCATTCCACTCGTCATAAAACAGAAGTACAAAATCTTTTGTTTCTTGTTTGGGCACAAGAAAAATAAAAATATTTTATCTGCAAATTAAGTTGTATATACTTGAATTTGGTAATTAGTTGCTATTTATTAAATTATCATATCTTCGTGTTCGATAAGTTATTGACTTTTTAAAAATATGTAGTTTTGATGCTGTGTGGCCATGTGATAATTTAGAGAGTCGAGATTGGTCGTGTATGATTTGGATTAAAATTCAATTAAAATCTCAAATCAAAATCAATAATTAATTTTAATCACACGTTTCATTAACTTTTATCAAAATCTGCCTGATTTTAATCTCTACCAAGCAAGGGCATGGTATATATTGATTTGAAAAGGGTCATACATCATCACGACTAATGAATGTGCACGTGCCATTATTTTTTTTCCATCTTGTGTTGAAAATGTATCAAATGTGATTTGAGTGATAAATTTTGAATTCGGTAAATGAACAAATATACCCAACATAATTACAGCATAAATGATATTGAAGATAAATAGATAGTATGAATATATTATTTGCCTTAATTACATTATTATTTTCCTTATTCAGTCACCACTTCTATAGTATAGTGATCGTTTTATGCAGGTAGGCGATCAAACTATATTAATTATGAGCCATAGTTTCTAAACCCTATCTAATAATCGACAATTAGTGAACCAATCAAAAGTTTAAATAAATGAAATGTTTTTAAGTAGAAATATGCGAAATACATAGAGTCCAAATTTAAAGTCACAGTTAAAATAGTAATTTAATAATTAAAAAATTCCAATTTTTTTATTTGTCAAAAATGATTTTTGTTCTGTCCATATTTGGTGTAGAAAAATTAATTTAAACATACATTTAATGAGATTCATAATTTTTCAACAACATAGTTCATCATTTTTTTCTTTTCAAAATTTATTAAATCTAATTTTTTACTACACCAAATATGGATTTTTATTATTTTGTAAACATGATTAAATCACAAGAAAATAAAATAGTAATTGATTGTTATTTATTTTTCGAGGTTTCAAAAGAAAATATGTTGCAGAGCACAGATCGTTTTTTCATTTTGAGATTTGGGGTTCAAATCCCAGCATGTTTCAATTCATGTTTTAATAATGCCTAATACTTTTGATTAGTTCTTTAGCAACTTAAAGTATTTTCAAGGTCACGAATTCGAATTCCCTGTCAACACTTTTTCGGTCGAACCCGTCGCACCGAGCTTGCCTAGTACAGTTTATCTCTCCTGTGTAGTTTGCGAGCTACTGCGCATAAAGTGGAGTTTACCTAGTGCGCACTCACAATGGTTGAGCCCCCGCCCCTTCAAAGTGGTCGAAGCTCCACTGACGGATAACAGCTATGGGTTCATACGTTAACAGAAAAAGAAAAGAAAAGTATCTTATGCATTATAAAGAGCATGTACAAATTTAGAGAGTTAAAAAGTTTTTCACTTTAACAATGCTCTCTATTTTGACTCTTTATTTTAATTTTTTTTCAAAAAAAATATTTATTGTTTTCTTCTCATATTTTATTTAACATATTATATCGATTCAAATATATTTTGAATAGTTCCCCCTGTTTGGTATCCATTTTGGCCAAATGTTAACACAAAATGTGACCTTTTGTATTTATAAAACTTGTGAGGATATTTATTTTTCAAATCACAAATATGTTGAGATTAGTTGGGATTTATTTCACATGAGAAGATTGTACGTGTATTTAAAAAAGAAAGATAAATTTATTTCCAAAAAATACACTTACCAAATTGGAAAGGCAACAAGCTAGACGGGCTTTCCCCATTGTGGAGATGGAGATAGAACACGAACGGAAATTAAAATATTTTTGCTCTCTCTATTTCTAAACTTTCTCAAAAATATTTGCTTTTCATTCTTTCATAACTTGTTAGGACAACAACTTCACTTAATAGCCTAAATAACTTTGGCAAACAAATTATTTATAAATTTAGTTAAAGTTAAATATTAATTTGAACTACACATCCATAATATTTTTAATTATAAATTATTTAGCCAAACAGAGACTTAATTGTTAGTCGAATGTCAACATGTTACCTTCTAAGCTTAGCCAAGGCATGCTTCCGTTAATGAAAATTTGTTTTAATGTGTTATTATTCATTAGTGGAAACCTACTAATTTAATATCTTTAGTCTTTTAATTTAACATTTAACAAAAAGAATATATTAATCTGTTGGCACACAGAAGAAATTTTATTTTTGAATAGAATTCAATTTCTTCTTTTATTTAATACATTAACTAATTAGAATTTTCAATATTGTGGTTGCTATTAGAGCAGATCATGAGAATTTTGATGCCTGAAACGACTAATTATTATGAGGTTCTATAATTTTGTTTTTTCCTTTTTTACAAACGTAGAAATACTAAATATTTAAAACAAAAGCATCCCTATATTTAAATGAAAATTTGTACAATCTAAAAAATAAAGTAACAAAATAAAACATCTCACACAGCCAAGAGATTAGACTATCATGTTTTTCATATGCAACATTCTTAATCAAATCAAATTAATTTATGCAGATATCGCTAGCCTGCAGTTATTGAAAAGGGATGGGATTTGAAATTGGGAAAACTGGCTAGGATACAGAAGGGAGGTTGAATAATTCTTCGACCGGATCAAGAAGGCCTACGACAGAAATCTACCACATGATATAAATTTAAAGAAATATACCCAAAGATTTTTACCGTAGAGCGCTTCTCGACTCCAAAGATTGTTGTTAAGTCCTTATAAACAAATCTTGAAAAATAAATAATAAACAAAAATCAGTAAATGATTTTGGATTTCACGGCC